TCTGTGTGTGTGTGTGTGTGTGTGTGTGTGTGTGTGTGTGTGTGTGTGCGTGTGTCTGTGTTTGTGTGCCAGACTTGCCACGTTGACCGATCGGACTATCGAGAGAGACGGCATAGAAATCAAAGAAGCAGAAAATCGACGGAAACGAAACGAAACGAAAACGAAGGAGGTGAACTCACTTTCAATCATGTTGGCGCCATCGTCTTTAAGCCTCCATCCGAGCCTCAGCTTCCAGCCTTCACGATGCAGAGCCCAATCAGCTTCCAACCTTCAAGATGCACAGCCAAACCTCCAGCACGAAAAAGAGCTTAGCGGCGACAAATCCTCTTGAGCTTCACCCCTAAATATACTGTGTGTGCGTGCGAATGTGTTCTCGGTGGGTGTGTTTGTGTGCGTGCGAATGTGTTATCGGCAGGTGTGTTTGTGTGCGTCCATCACAGTACAGAGTAGAGCACAGTCCCCCATGGCATTTTGTTGTGTGTGTGTGTCTGTGTGTTGTCCCGATCGCGATACACAACTGCACAAAAAAAAAAATACGGTGCCAGACTGTTTCATTTCATCGGACTTTCACCGACTCATCAGGACGGTGTGCGTGCCCTGTAGAGTATGGTAGCAACTTTAGGCCATAGCCTTAGAGCAGCAGAGTCGAAGTCGAGAGTATCAGCCTACCGTCTTCCCCCGCACACAACACACCCTAATTATGAATGTATAGAGGCTAGGTTTCCGGTCCGATGCGCTCAAAATGAGGGTGCGTTGTGTTCGGGGGAAGAGGCTGGTCCGATGCGCTCAAAATAAGGGTGCGTTGTGTTCGGGGGAAGACGGTAGAGTATAAGAGTCGAGTAGCAAAATCGACCGTCTTCCGCGCTTGGCCAGACGCGGAACATGTGGGGAGTCCTTACTAACCCCTTTCCTTTCTTTTGTGGGGGAACTGCCAGCCTTTCCCAGTGCTCCCCTCCGCAAGAAAGGTTGCTGCGGGCGCTCCCTCAAACCCACGGTAGCGGCCGAGTGCGCTCCCCCCAGATTGCCCGCGCGTCATCGGCGCGGGATGCAGGCCTCAAATTCGGCCGCGCACCACGTGGGGCTGTATCGGCCCGAGAATTGGTCGAGCGCGGTACCCGTCCAGCTCCTCGAGGCTGCCGACCCAGTGGCGCCATCTTTTTTTTTTCCCTGGAAAGTTGGTCACATTTCATTCCTCAAGAATTTGATCCCCACGGGCGGCCCCACCCCATCTCTGACTACGGCTGTTGGGGCGGGGGGCAACATGAATTACCTCGTTTGCGAGGCCCTGTGCTTGCAGGGGTCCCCTCTATATAGTCTTAGGAGTAGTGGTAGGAAGGTAGTGAAAGGAGAAAAAAGAATTTGAGAGAAGAACATAGAGTAGTTTTTGAAAAAAAAAAAAAAAGAAGTTGATCTCAGGCCGGGGACCTCACAATTCAACCCGGAAGCACTGGGGCCATCACCCAGCTTCTGCTAAGTTATGGGACATGAAGTGAAACACATTATCAAGTGATTCGTCACCGATACAAGACAAGCTCATGCATCAAGCACGACACGTTCATGCATGTGACACCATGGACATTCACCACACAACATCCATCACGCACACGTGTCCTCTTACCCGTGGGTAAGGCAGTCCTGCACAGGAGCAGGTCAACACATTTGCGCAAGTAGACTTACGCTGATTGTGCAATAAGTCGGCAACGTATGGATTTTTCGTCCATACGATACGGACCTTAGAACGTGCCCTGCGTATGATGCAAGGGGGAAGAGAAAACCCACTTAACTTATCATTAATCAATTTACGTACCTCACACAGTTTTACACGATCATCGAACAGCAACCTGAAAACTAACGTAGCAGACATTCAGAAACCAAATCCTTCCCAGATGACTCTACTGACAAGGCGGCGCAAGTATGATCTCGTCGATTTTCGATCAAACTCCTTAATCCCGCTGAAAATACCATCTAGCGAGATCAAGTTCAAGCACTTCAGGTTATCCACCCCTTGTGGCTTTTTCATAAGAGCGACCAAGGTAGGTTTATATATGCTACTTTTGTGATGCCATCTCCGTAGATATGTGACCTCGATACTTCCACCTTCTTCCAATCGTCATTTACAATTACGAAACTTCACTTGCTCACCGTCAATCTTCAAGTTAGTGTTACCAAAGGCCTTCTTCACCTTCCGCCAAGAGTCACACCAATTGTCTCCTTCATTAAATACTAAGTTAAATTGTCGCTATCCATTAGCTTCCTGGTCAGCCAGCAGATGAAGTACCCGAAACGTGGATTGACCGCCTTCTATCCCCGCACAAATCGGTTGTCTTGCTTTCCGTTCCATCTCAGTTCTTTCGTCCATCCCTCCATTTTGATCGATCTTCCGCTATCTCTCCTTCTTCCCATTCCGTCCACGTTTTTTTCCCTTCCCGATATTACCGACGGTGTTAAGGTGTGGAGACCAACCTTTAATAAACCAAGATTAAAGGGTGAGCAAATCCTTCTCGTCACAATTACCAATTGAGATTAGTGTGTATGAGTCTACACCGAAGGAATCCCACCAACAATAGAGACGTGACGACTTCCCTCGTCGTCCAAACACAGACAAGTGTTATCTCCATCGCACGATTCACAACCTTGACTTTTGTCCTATGTACTGTGATTTACGGCACGGTGACGTGATTACGTAGACGCATCTTGGTGCATTTAAGAACTCTAGTCTGTTGTGTCTAAACATGTCAAGCCATACCCCTATGCATTTCTTCATCCATCGAATCCTACCGACTAGCGCCAGCCATAACACGATTAGTCGATACAGAGACTTCAAATTGGTATCCACATATTGAAGCTTCCTATGGTACGATATCACTACGTCAGAGAGTATGCACCACTGCTCAAAAGACCGTTGACTTCATTCATTACCTGTTTCTTCGTCGTCGGGTGACTCGTCACTTGCTTCAGGCACCAAGTCGATGACTCCAAAACCCGCCGACTGAGGTCCATATTTGACCTCAACTCGGTGATCAGCTAAATCAAAAATCGCTTGTAGCTTGGTTTTGTAGGGATTTCCTTTCTTAGCATAAATCGCTCGGATATCATAATGGTGGATCGGGATAAGATCCCGTCTTGTGGCTTCTAGGAAATGCATCCTTTTGATGGTGTTATCCTTCATCCTAGGCTTGATCGCTGTCATAGCCCTGCGAGGCAGCCTCACTGGTCTGCTCTTCAACGGTACGTGACGTGGACGCAGCCTCTCAGTTAGTTTCAGCGGTTTCATCTTCGTTCGTCATGAGGTTCTCTTATTGGGTGTAGTCGGCGGGGGGTTGTTACCCACCCGTGTATTTTCACCTCGCTTTCTTTCTCCATGATATGTAGTCCCTCCGTACTCTTAGTAATAACTTCAGTTTCAATCGTCCCACCAGAAGACCCCGAGGTGGATGTGATGGCCTCCACAACTTCCCCTTTCCTTTACAATTAGCTTCTGTCTCATGGATAACGTCGCGGACGATTTTTTCAAAAGTTCATCCACACCCAAATCTTAACCCCACTTGAACTTCCATCGCCTTAGCCAAAACTTTACTATCTTCCTCTTTTTTCCGTTTCTTCTCAATCTTCCTTTCCTTATTGAGTTCTTCGACTCTGCTGGCTTCTTCAACGGCCTCCTTGTGAACAAATTCCTTCATATCTGCAACGTTCTTTTTTAGATCCTTAGTACGGCTAAATGTCATTGGTTCCTCCGACGGTGAGCGAGTCAAATTAGTGCCTCGGGAATAACGAGGTGAAGTTGACCGTCCCCTTCACTGAAATTCTGGTGGGCATTTATACCCATCGGCCTCCATTTTCTTTCCTGTTGCATCGTTTGCCCAGAATCTCAAACAGTCACTACGGTAATGCCCCACCAACTTAATACATCTATTAGCAGTGGTCGCCTCGACGGAATGTCACCAGCTTCGCGTTGACTATCACCTCACCGTTGATCCTCAAGTTCATGTTCTTCACGTGCACGGTTGTCAGGTCCGTATTCACCTCCACCTTGATTTTTCAATCTGTTATACTCGTAGTCCTGATTTCTACTTACCGATCAGTCATTCCACCCACTCTCCTCGCGGGTACGTCCCCTGGTAGTAGTCCTCGTTATGGCTACCCCGGTTCGACATTCTATGCTGTATAAGATCTGTCATGTTCTTCAGATCCCAGTCTTCGTAGCTTTCAGTCTCCTTGTTTGCACTTATCACCTTGCTAAACGTAAAACATCAGTTACTCCACCGTGCTCACACACTCCCGCCACGTCCTCCATGCAGGTTCACACGAGCCTTTATAGGTTATGAGACATAAAGTGAAACATATTATCAAGTGATTCATCACTGATACAAGACACACTCATGCATCAAGCACCACACGTTCATGCATATGACACCATGAACATTCACAACGCAACATCCATCACGCACATGTGTCCTCTTAACCGTGGGTAAGGCAGTCCTGCTCAAGAGCAGATCAACACATCTGCGCAAGCATACTTACACTGATTGTGCAATAAGTCGGCAACACATGGATTTTTTGTCTATACGATATGGACATTAGAACGTGCTATGCGGATGATGCAAAGGGGAAAAGAAAACCCACTTAGCTTATCATTAACCAATTTACGTACCTCGCACAATTTTACACGATCTTTTCCGGCACCGACGGGGCGAGCAGCATTCCGGAGTGTCGCTAATGCCACGGAGGAGGGTTGGAGGAGGAAGTGACGCGGGGAACGTTGGTGAAAGAAACCTCCTGATGACTTTCACCGGAAGGTGATCGAAACCAGTCGGGGATCCACATCTTTCTGAAAATTGAAATTGTTTTTCTTGCTCTTATCATTGCGTGATGGATGTGCAGTGGTGAATGTCGATGGTGTCATATGCATGAACGTATCATGTTTGATGCATGAGTGTGTTTTGTATCGGTGACGAATCACTTGATAATGTGTTTCACTTCATGTCTCATAACATGCACATAGGTAGTCATAAACTTCAATCGAACTATTTTCCAAAATGTTAAACCTTGAGTGCTCAAATAAAGGAACTCCTAATGAGAAGTCAGACTTGTGGCTCCAATCTCAAAAGTTAGCCTCCCTCATGTGGCTCCAATCTCACCAAGCAGTTCCGGTAGTTGGGTGGCTTAGGAAGCGGGAGATGACTTTTAAACCACCAGTACTTGGCTCATACATCGGCCGCGGGGTATTGTCATTAACGCCTCGCAGTTTCCAGAGGCTCGGGGTACTGGCCCTCAAAGGTAGGCCAGCCCAAACAATATTTTCTTGTTGCGCTGGCGGGTCGGCGCGAAACAACGCGCAGCCCGTTTTCAGGCTCGGCATCGATAGTTGCGCCAAGTACTGGTGGTTTAAGGAGGCCAGTGATTGTTGTCAATGGGTTTCTGAAACTATGCATCACCTGTGGTGGGTGTGCCAAAAATCAAGAAAGTGATGGGACTGGTGATTCGCCCATTGGAAATTTGGGTTTGGAAGAGACGACTTTGCAGGAGAAAGATGTGTACTGGTTGGGGCTGTACCTGAAGGAACTCCGTTGGACAGAGGATGGGGATATGCACCGCAAGTCTGCAGAGCAGTCATGCTTTCGGTCGTTTGGGCAGATCGTAATGACTTGCGATTCTAAGGACATAGCCGACCGGAAGCTCATTTGGAACGTCTGTTCAAAAAGCTGCTAAGGGATTAAATTCAATCAGATTGGCGGAGGAAAGCGAAAATGGAAATTGTGGAAAGGGTCTGAGATGGTTCAGATCCACGTGGGGCCAGAAAGAAGAAATACTAAAGGTCTCCAGGGAATAAATAATGGTTTTCTCAAGTTGGTGGAAGACGGTCAGAACCAAGGCTTAGAAGGGGTAGTAAGAGGGGAAGAGAAACAGAAGAAGGTGACTAAAGAGTGGTTTGTTTGGCTTTGATGGGCCTGTTGGCAATGTTTGTTTAAGAACCAGGGCACCCGGTTTGTGTAGGGTCACAGTAGACCAATACGTGGAGGAGGGTGGTAGAGAGTCACATTAACTTGGAGCAAATAGCTCCAACCGGTCGAATTGGGCTGGTGTCAGACCGGAATAGACCAACGTAGGTAGTTCATAATAAAGTAGATAGAAGTAGGGTTTAAGGTAGGATTAGGTGAAAACTTCACCCGAATGAGGCGTCTACAGAACTATTGTATAAGGTTTCCAGTACGGTTATCCCGGAAAGAGTGTGAGGACCCTGACCTCCAATTTTGAAGTTTTCAAATATATGCGAACTGTTGTGTGAAAAGAACAAAAGGTCAGACCTGCTCACCCGTCAGGGAGTAGGAATCTAAAGTTCTCTCATGTTATTCTTGTCCTTCCTCCTGCTGTAGCCAATTTGAAATTACTAGTTTCCCTTCCGGAGGTTCGGTCCCACCTGAGCCTTTTCGTTGTAGGAGGCTACCACGAAGCGACTGGCGAGCGTCTAGGGACCATCGATTGTGTCAATCCATGGTCCTTAGGTGCCCGCCATTCTCTTCGTGGTAACTTCCTACAACGAAAATGAGGAGGTGGGACCGAGCCTCAAGGAGACAGTGGCAAGGTTGTTGCCTTTTGTCCATGCTTTCTTGAACTAGTACAGTCCTCTTCCAGACCTTTTTCACGCTAGTCTGTCAGGATATGTAAGGATAGTCAGGCGAAGAGCAGACTTCATCTGACATATTTGTTTGCGAATCGGAGTATCTTGATCCCTAAATACCTTTGCATTTGACATATTTGTTTGCGAATCGGAGTATTTTAATCCCTGAACACCTTTGCATTTGACATATTTGTTTGTGAATCGGAGTATCTTGATCCCTGAACACCTTTGGATTTTTTGCATTCCACATGACTTCCAATAAGATCTTTTTGCAGTGACGAAAAAATTTACAAAACGATCAACACAATCTTTCTTTTTAATAAAAGGCTAATTTTTTCAAGCCCAACCAATTGAATTACCTAAAAAGATTTACATCAGATGAAAGAGTGACAATTTCGGTTTGAAGCTCATCCTACGAATCCATTACTGACTTTTTTTTTTTTTTTTTAACTTGAATATCAACCAGGGACCATGCTCCTGCCTCTTGAGTGGTATAAGCCCCAAGAGATAGATACATGCAAGTTTTCGATGGCTCCATTCTATTGGTGGGGAGGTGCATCTTATGGAAACCAAGTTCAACGTCCCTTCCAAAATCCAAATTATCCTATAACCAAAGGCCCATTTTTCGAGTCTCGCCTGGGGAAGCACCAGGCTAAGTAAACCTCTTCACCAACGCGACGTTAGAACAATACATGATTAAGCCACTGGTACTTGGCCCAGCTACAGATGCCAGGCCTCAGAGCACCCTGCGTGCTGAGTTCGCACGAACTGCCAGTGCGACTTTTTGTTTCGTTCTCGGCTGGTGCTTCCAACCATTGTGGTCCAGTACCCCGAAGCCGTAAAGGTGCATCGTGAGCACTGGTGGTTTAACTAGCCTCGAGCCTGACCATCCTTGGAAAGAGCAAATTCACCAGTGTGATAAGAGTTCTATTATGGTTCAGTTTGCCAAAATTCAAACTTTTTCAATCCATTGACTTCATTTCTGAACTCCCTATGCAAGTACCAAAGGAGAACAAACTTCGTATTTTGAGTTTTAGGTAAGTAGGAACGAGACGAATATTCAACAAACAACATGCTGTATTTTTTTGGAATCACCGACTCTTATTGCCTCCATGTGCTAGTGCCCGGCCATAGATGCCAGTGAGAGAAAGCAGACAATGCTACTGGAGAGCATCTTCTAATTCCTCGTTTTTTCGAGGTGATGCAAAATCATATCTTCTCAATTCCACCGTCACTTGGCACACCCCGTTAGCTTTACACTAAGGTAACTCTATATCGCCACAACAACTTTGCAACCGCGTACCTTGAGCATTCAGATTCCCTCGGCTAGTAGTGACAGGTGAAAGTTACCGAGATGAGTTATAATGTAGGAAAAGTAAGAAAAACTGAGGTGTAGTTTACAAGGGCAATAGTAAGAATATTACACAAAATCTGATAATCCTTCATCACATTAATTGGGATGAGTCACTGCCTTTTGGTAAACTGTTATTTTAGTGTTGACTTTCTATCCTACTCTCATGTTCTCGACAACGGAGTATTTGCAACACGGTAGACGCGATGGAGGAAAGGCAGAAGCACTGTAAATTGTGATGCCCTGGCCAAGACTGTTGGTAAACAAGTCCGAGTTTGAAAAAAACGGGAGTGAGGGTTTTTGCAGCAATACGCAAGAACCTATTCATAGTCGTAGATCATAGTAACATTGTCTATTACGGGGCAGTGTTTAAAAGTTTTATAGGTCCGAGATTTACCTTTTTACCTCAGGCTCTGCACCACGGATTATTTAGAAGCAGTGTACCTTTCTAGTGGTTTCGCTCCGGTCCGCTTGAGTAGCAATGGT